GTCGGATGGACGGTTGGATGGACGGTCGGATGGACGGTCGGATGGACAGTCGCATGGACGGTCGGATGGACGGTCGGATGGACAGTCGGATGGACGGTCGGATGGACGGTCGAATGGACGGTCGGATGGACGGTTGGATGGACGGTTGGATGGACGGGACTTCCAATTGTCTCTCTAAGCTCCACGGTGGAGACAATAATAACGTCACTGTTTTTCATAAAATGTGAATATCTGCGTGTGGACGAGCGCTGAAGACAAATCATCTCGTCCTCCCTGACCTCGATACGGAGGTTCGGTTCCAAAAATCATCACATTCTAAAATGATTACTGTGTGATCCACCAGGATCCCCAACATGAGCCTGAAAACCTGGTCCAGATGGCATGTGATCCGCTGATAATGTGATCCAGTATTTATGTGACAGAAGATCATCTAATCTGGTGACCCACTGGCAATATGATCATGTGATCCAGTGATCTTGTGATTAAGTGATATGTTCCCATGATCATGTAATTAATTGATCATGTGACCATATGATCCAGTGATAATGGGATACATTTATTATTTGATTATATGATAATTGATCATATGATCCAATGATAATGGGATCAATGAATTATGTGATCCATTGATCATATGATCCAGTGATCATATGATTGTGTGATCTAGTGACCATATGATCCAGTGATCAAGTGACCAAGTGATCATATGATCCACGGAGCATGTGATCCAGTGATCACATGATCCAGTGGTTCTGTGATCATATGATCTAGTGATAAAAGGATCCAGTGATCCAGTGATGATTCTGTGCCAGGACCTCTGAGGCGACTGACGGAGCGATGGTGCAGCAGAGCGTCTGGAGGATGCAGGAACTCCCAGTGGAATTGAACAGGCGGTGTCTGAATGCCTGTCGCCCGCTGCCTCTCATGAGTTCTACATTAAGTTGAGTGTGCCAGCCCTCAGAGTGCGTGTTGTGAACGACTCTCAGCTACTACCACACCAAGGTTTAGCTCAAGATCTGTAAAACCATTGGAGGTTTACATGCATGTGTGTTTTTATACCAGTTAGCTGTGGCGGCCATCTTGGATCTGTTCTGAAGAAGTTTTAATAAATTTAATTTAAAGATTTTCTTGATAAACTGCAGAGTCTTGGACTCGTGATCTTCAGCTTGGTGCTTTTTTAAACCTTATGACTAAAACACAAAAACATTTAAACGTGTTTCAGAAGTTCTACCAGCTGGGGTGATGAGTCCGTACGGGTGGACCGGATCAGAACCGTCCTTGGGTCACCTGTTTCTTGGTGTGCTCGCTGACCTCCCCCGGCATGTCGTGGGCGCTCCTGATGAGCGTGCGGGCGATGTGGTAGTAGTACACGGAGATGATGGTCAGAGGAAGCAGGAAGTAAACCAGGAAGATCATGACGGAGTGGATCTTTGGGTGCATCTGATTGGACAGCGGGTACGGGACGCAGTTCACGAAGGTGACGTTCATGTTGTCCCTGTGTCCCTGAGGAGACGAGGAGAGCAGGAGGTTACAGAAGGAGAGGAGGAGGTTACAGGAGGAGAGCAGGAGGTTACAGGAGGAGAGCAGGAGGACTGAGGTGCTGTTTGAAGACTCATCTGGTTCCATTTTTCACTCATCCAACCTTTATTTCTGCAGGTTGGTCTCATTGAGCCTCGAGGACTCTTTTACAAGAGAGACCTGGTTTAACGAAGAACAGACGACGGACAATCATATAAAACATATAAAATGAAAAGTAAATGGAAGAAATTATATTAATAAACAGATAGATTATAAGGCGATGCAGAAACTAAAAACAGGAACATCTGCAGGAACTGATCAGATGTTTGAAGCCACTTAGAAAGGTCAAAGGTCGAGAGCTTCAGATCTTTTTACAAGATGTTCCAGGAAACAGGAGCGGAGTAGGAGAAGGTCCTTTTGTCTAGTTCAGTCCTCACTGAGGGAACACTGCAGGTAATGATGTCCTGAGAGCGCACGCTGTAGCTGCACTCACACAGAGACATGTAGGAGGAGATGTATGAAGGCAGCAGACCAGGAAGTGATTTAAAGATGAACATGTACCAGTGGGAGAGTCTGGACCGCAAGTCAGGAAGAGCAGAACCTCTCAGACGTTCAGACCAGTGACCCGGTACACGTGGACTGACAACGGTTCTGTCCATCTGCTGGACCTCCAGAACCGCCTCTTCTTCTGGCCCAACAGGAGAACCGGTCCTAAGAGAACTTTATCGCCGCAGCTGAAACCTTTGAATAAACCCAAACGACTCTAAAACTCTCCAGAAAAAGAAAGTCCGCTTCCTGTTCAGGACCGGATCAGACTGATCCGGTCTTTGTCAGGTTCTGAAGTCAGTCCAATCTAACCTGAACCAGATTCAGCAGAACCCACTGAGCCGGGGTTTATTAAACAGAAACTAAAGGTCAAAACTGGTTCTGCTGCCCCTCAGACCTCAGAAGTCCAGAACCATGTCTGATCTGGACCATCCAGATGTGTGTTACCACAACACCAAGATGGAAAGACATCAGCAATGACCTCATGGGAGCAGCTACTGCTGACGTCTGTCTGTGAAGGTCAAAGGTCGTTTAGAGTCCATCGTCCCACAGAAAGATTCTTCAGACGAGGAGAACTTTTCAGAGAGCAGACTCACCCCGAAGGTCAGACCGTGCAGTGATGCTACAGGCCTCAGTCAAAGGTCACAACATGCCAGCTTGACTTTCATCTGAAGGAACCACCAGACTTCTGGACCAGAACCAGAGCGGAGGACAGATGTTTACCCAGAATGCACTGCAGCTGTCAGCACGGTGGTGGAGGCTGATGGTTCGGGCTCCTGACATGGAAAACTCTGGATCTGAAGACTCTTACGTTTAAATAAAAGGGAAATTACTCCTGAAACGAACTCCGCCCAAAAGAAACAACCTTTTTATGAGAAGTTTAACTTTTGAAATGAAGTTTGATGGATTTAGTTGAGTCTAAACGTTAAATCTGTCAGTTTTCTGTTTCTGACCTGCATGGAGACGACCTGAGAGAAGACGGCCTCGGGGACAGCCAGCAGGACGGACAGCAGCCAGATGGACACAGCTTTCAGACACGTCCAGAAGACGGCGCTGGACGTCTGGATGTCCATCGGGTTCACGATGGCCTTGTACCTGAGGGACAAACGCAGAGAAACCGTTCACGACGCATTCCCACAGCTTCATGATGGTGAGTTCAAAAACAAACGTGGCTGAAGGAAATCGTCATGAATCCTAAAACGTCCAGATCGGACAGGACACGTGCCGCCAGCAGAGACGCGGCGTAAAGAAAGACAAACGGCTTATTAAAGATAAAAATCAATTCATGAAATCTGCTGAAAATGAGCCCAGGGTCAGAAAAGACCAACGCAATCATCAGACCCACTTACCCAGAATGCATTTGTCAACGTCCGGTTTTTAATCCAGCCATAAATCAAGACGGACGTTTTCAGTCCACCTTGATTTATGGAGATAAACTGAGTTTGAGCAGCAACAGATAAAAACGATATTTAGGATGATTAACCACGAGCTAAACGAATCAACCATCGGTGTGAATGACTTGTGATGGTTCACTGCTCCGGTTTCCTGCTGCCATCATCGTGTCACACAGAAATCATTTTCATCTACAGATTAGGACAAGAAGGAGCAGATGAAGCTCAGATCCATGACCTCTGGACCGGACTGAAACAACGCGCTGCAACTACTTCATCCCAACTTTGATTCAGCTCAGTGAAGACCTGCAGACTAACTCATGGTACAAAAATAAATGACAAAAGTACAACTCAAATATAACTCTTTGAACCCGAAGAAAAACTCAATCAAGACGAGACTTTCTGTCGGGAACAGTCTGACTTCAGAACATCGAAGCACCGGAACAAAATTAACCAAGAATGAGTTAAAATGCTCCTGAAGTTGTTTTTAGAGGAAGAGTTGAAACCACCGTTACACTTGAAATGAAACAGAGCAATAAAACCAACACAGTCCCGTAGGAACCAATTATTATAACATCTGATTATCAAAGTCACAGACTTAAATTTCATCCAAGCAGATTATAAATCCTCCCAATCTGATAAATCATCTTCTCAGAAACCAAAAGATGTTCATCACATTGAACAAATAAGAGTTTATAAACTCAGATTAGAAAAACAAACACGATACAGAGTTATGCCCCATTTTTTACGAATTACTTCATAACAATGAAATCATTTATATTTAAATATTTAAATACTGGAACTTTACAAAATCCACTTGAAAATAAAATATATTTAGATTTTGAAAATGTTCTTGGAGTGTAGCAATCTGAATTTTTTTTTTTTTTTTGTGGACCTGGATTTCAGTAAAAAAGTAAAGTTCTGCTAGTTTTTTTTTTTTTTTTAACAATAAAATGTTTTTTCTGTGCACGTGAAGTGGAACGTGCACTAACATTCCTGTAAAGAAGTCTCTTGAGTGGTGCCTGAGTCCTCTAGGTAAAGGCGGAAATCACCACGGGAACCGGTGCCTCAACAGATTCCGGGCTACAAAAAGGCGGGAATCACCATGGCAACTGTCACCTCTGCAGATTCTGGGCTACAAAAAGATGGGAATCACCATGGCAACTGTCGCCTCTGTAGATTCTGGGCTACAAAAAGGTGGGAATCACC